AGCCTGGATTTGCTGCTCAATTGAAACTCGTTGTTAGAGGCATCTCTTTAGATTTGTGTATTGTGGGCTTTTAAGGGTGTGGGACATTTCCAATCAATATTTTAGGAGAGAGGGGCAGGTAGTATGTCAGACAATTAGATAAACTAATTAGAGTGCCTTTGCATGGACTCTTGGCACAAGCCCTGCTTAGCTCACTTTACGGGGGTCGTGCTGAGTTAACTTGCCTTCCCATGTGTGGGTGCCCCCAAGCGGCCTCATGCCCTAGAGAGGTGTTTCAGTAGTCCCTAGGAGATAAATGAACTCAGCAGTCCAACAATTACTCCTTCTCCAAACGGCCTCCTGATCAATGGTGAATAATTTCTAACCAGGCAGTCATCCATCCTCTGAGCCGCCTTATTTTTTTCCCAGGCATTAGCTCAGATAACTTCAGGTTATCATTGTTTTATGTTTCTGTGCTTTGTCGGTTCGGGAATCTATCAGGGTCTGTTCAGAGAACTAGAATTACAGTTTTAAAGTGTGCGCCTAATAAAAAAGATTCTCGCTCTTCCCTCTGTCCACCCCCTACCCCAACATCGTTTGGGGGTGAGGCATGATCAGTGCCTGCTTGAGATCATATCTCCATGTACAGGAGGAAACGCCTGACTTCAAGCCATTGTTGCCTGGGTTTCTTTGTTTCTCTGAGCCAAAATATTTCCAAAGATGATTGACGGTCCTGGCCGAGTCTCATCAGCTGCCTCGCTGACAGCCTGGTGTGCACACGCTGCTGATGTGCAGGCCAGTGACAGCTGATTGACAGCCCAAGACTGGGAGACAGGGAAGGGGAAGCTTGCTTAGAACGCCTGACGCGCACTGTTTATGCAGCGCTCCAAGCTGGGGCTGCCACCTTAACCCGTTCGCGATCTGGGCACGCTGTGTTGTGCCAGACTGCGTGGATGCCTGGTTGTCCTGAGGCTGGAAGCTACTGCTCTTCCTTGATGCTTCCCAGGGAGCTGAAAGCTTTGTATTTATGAGGAAGAAAATAAGACTTGGCTATTACATTTGCATTTGTGAAAAGAATTTCCTCAATTACTCAATGCTAGGCAATAAAAAAGATTCTAAGTGAGATTTTTTGGCCTTGTTAGAAAAAACTTTTCCCACTCCCTCCCCATCTCTGGTCTTTAGAAGGTCCTTCTGGCTCTAGGATAGCCTGTCTCTAAGCTACCGTAAATTCTGTAATAGGTGTGTGCTTATTTGTTAGAATGTTTTTTCCACCTGGAGGGGCTTTGTTTTGTTACTTGCTGAGTCTCATATTAATACAGGAACTCACACATAATAGGTGCTTAATAAATATTTGTTCAATGAAGGAATAAACGAGTGAATAAATGAATTGACATGGGGAGACAGCTTATATCACCCAGTAGAATGTTGGCAAAAACAATACCCTATCAAGATCTTTGGACATCTTAAAACAGGAGGGACTTGACCCACAGTGCTCTGTGGGCATTTTCAAACGAACTCTTAGAATAAGATGGGATCTCCTTTAATAGGAGCAAAAGTTCCATCAGTATAATAATTCAGGGAGTAACAATGCTCTGGGTGACATATTACTTCCTCTTAGAAGGCAGAAAACTCCTCTGTATTGATTTTGTTGCTTCACCCACTCAGCTCCAAAACCTTCACTCCCTGAATGGGGGTGGGACCCTGGTGGGATATGACTAGGCAGGTGGAAACCACTGATGACTTCTTAGGAGATGAGAGGTAGTTGGTGTGGAGAGGTGCAGGTTGGACCCGGTTACTGGACTATGTTCGACATCAGGTTGTGCATCCCTAAGGCCACTTGGCTGGACCTGTCTTGGAGGGGGTCAGAAAGATGTTACTTTGGCTGCTGGAGAAGCTGGCAGTTCCAGGGAGGAAGTTCTCCCTTTGGAAAAGATGGAATCTCGGAAAAGAAGAGGATCCCATTTGGGCAATTCTCTGTCAGCAGGTCAGTAGAATAGAAACCATTATACCTAAAAATGGAAACTTGATCCAGAGAGGTTAGGTGCATGCCAAGCTGGTGAATCACATGGCCTTAGGACTGCTGACTCCAAAGTCATCCTCACACTAGCCATCTTTCCAACCTGCCATAGCAAAGGGGGAATAAACGATTTCATTAACACACACATTTCTGGTAACAGAAGTGTCACGTAATTTCTGTGCCTTTATTTAAAACAGAAGGCAAAGGAAGCCAGAGATTGTGGTTCTCAAAGCCCTCTGTACACTTGCTTTGTAATTCTAAGCATGGTGTGTATTTCTATTTCCTTTCTCATCTTATAGAGACGTGAACACTTAGGTCTGGCTGATCACTTACTATTAGTTTCAAGCAAAATATGAATTATCCCTTGCTCCTTTTAGGCGTGTAGCAGAACTATGCCTCATGCTACTTTCTTTCCTCATGATGGTCACAACCACCATTTGGGTCACATGCAACTGGTGACCCCTCAGAAGACCTAGACTGTGTCCAGGTCCACATTGGACATTCTTAGGGAATATGGGGTTCATAACTCATTCAGGAAACATTTGCTCATGGGGAGAGATGCATGGAGAAAGATCTTCTGAGGCCCATGCCAAGCAGGTACTGGGGGTCAAATGGCTGCAGGGTGTAGGAGAAAAGGCACGGGTTCAGTGTAGACATTCTTGGGATTTAATCCACACTGTACTTGAAAAATAGCCTCCATTTCCTCATTTGCAAAATGGTTATAATACTACCACCACTGGCTTGTGAAAATTAAATGAGATGATATAATCAAAGAGCCCAGGACCATTTGAAGCATGGAGTCATCAGGATTTATTATTTTTGATAACACTGCACAGGCTTGGTCTCACGATCACTTCTGTGCATTGGAGAAGCTTTCCAGTGGGCAGAGACTTACCAAGTGCACAATGCATAGAGCCTGATGAAGAATCCGTAAGACCACTCTTGCCCTGGTGTGAGCCATAAGACCACTCTCATAGCCAGTTCTTGCTGAAATGCATCAGGGAAGAGCTTAGCCTCTCCTCTCAGCATTCAACTGCAGAAACCCACTCTCACTTCTGGTAGGTGGTGAGCAGGTGGAAGGAATAGGGAGGGGAAGAGTGATTAAGTATGTATAGGATGTTGTACTAGGGGGTGGAGGGGGAAGGCTAAAGACTTCAGAACACTTGGTTAACCTATGTCTAGGTGGACATTGCTTTGACGTTCAGGAGGAGATGATGTAACTACAAAGATGCCACCTTGTTTCAGAGCACTTTCTGTTGGCCTCCCTCTTAGGAAAAGAGGTTCCTGGTCTGACACCTAGGTTCAAACCCAGCTCTTTTACTACCTGTGTGATTTGGAGTAAGCCACTTTCGAAGTAATAGTGACCTCATCTGAAAATTGAGGGTTTGGTGTGATGATTAAGGTAAAGTTCCCAGCAGCACTTCCAATCTCTTGGAAATGCTCCCGTAATATTAGCTGTTGTTCTCATTGGATTGGATTACAATGAGCACATTACTTTCTCTAGTTTAAGACCTAGGGCAATTCAGGTAAGACTTCACAAACCCCTGAACTACTGCTTGAGATTTGGGGCTGGGGGTCCCAGTAAGTCTCTATCCCACACTTGGTATTTCATCTTGACCTCCACATTGTGTCCAAAAATGAGCATTTCCATCAGGGCCACATCCCTTCATGACCACCCTAGCTGAAAATTGTTCTTTAGCTGCTAGGGAGACATTTTACTCTCCAAAGAAAGAAAGTTATTTTAAGAAATATCATCACTCTGTGTGCCTTCCTTGTCCTCCATCACCAATTCTCATGAGATGATTTGAAGAACTGCAAACGGGCCCCTTATGGAACCATTTCTATACTTGCTGCTTCTCTTTGACGTTTCTTCCCCTG